AGGGGGTGGTGGTGGTGTGTGTGTTAGGTATTGGTATAAGCATTTTATAGAGGCTGTTGTTTTATACATGATGTTGCAGAATTTGTTACTAGTAAAATGAATCTGCAAAAAATCACTTTCTAAAGCTTTGAAGAGATGAGGAAACCGAATCCAACCAAAAAAAAACCCCAGTCTTTAAAGAATCCAAATAAATAAAATTAGGATAATAAAATTGCTTAAAGCCTTAGATTATTTCCATGTTCAAGAAGTTTTTCAGAAAATTGGTTAAAAACACCATTGCCGTCACCAAACAGCCAAGACACAAGAAGAATTTGTTGTTTCCTTTGTAACATTCATAAATTTCACAGATCTGTAAGATATGCTGGGGATTGCTGTTTCATGATGATCTCTAAGGTCCCTTCCAACCCAAACCATTCTATGATTCCATGCTCAGAGATGTTAGTAGTGTATATGTAAAAATCAATCTTGAAACATGACTTTGAAAGGAAAGTGCCTTTGATGTAGCCTATCAACGACTTGGAAATCAAGACAAAAATGTCTTGCTGTATATGTAGATGTATAAAGCACTGATACAACTAGAAGTCAGCCAAATTCTACATTCTTGAAAATAATTGAATAGAAAGCAAGCATATCTGAGTTCATCCAGCACTTTTGAGATGGAAAGGAAGTTGATTTAAGGGACTGATACATTTTAAATAACCAGTGAAAATTTTTTGTTGACAAATCCTGCAGAGTCTTAGAATTTTGGTCTCTGCTTGCTGTAGTAATGACTGTATTACAATTTGTACCAAGAATTGCAATTTTACTTGTCTTCAGAGACACAGAATATTTCAAGAAAATTAATCTAAATTAACTACTAAAGGAGGTTAGTTAAACTGATTTAAATATTATGTGCATAATTGTATTTCAGAGTGAAAGCAACCTTGATTCAATTTAGCCTGATTTACCTAGCCTGAAGTGAATGAAGGAAAACAAAATTAAAGCCAGTTTAAATTTGAATGAGCGTGTTGATGCACGTATCTAATGAAGTTTTGCTAACTTAACATTAAATTCACATCTTTAATTAATTAATTTCCCTCTTTGCTACCCCTGAAACAAGATGTCAATATGATGCAACATTAATGTTTTGTTGCATGCTGAAAGAACTACAGATGTATGAGACTAGGTTTTAGGCCTGAAAAGATGTATGGATAACATCACCAGAAGAGGTACCATATAAAATACATCTTCCATCTGCTGCAAAATGTAATGATGCAAAGGTGTAAGCAAAGAGGAACAGAGATACAGTAAATGGAGTGCTTTGATTTCATTCAGTGAATTAGTGCTGCAGAAACAAGGATTGGGTTTTTGAGGTATTGAAAGACTTGGCCTTCGTGAAGAGTTTCAGTGACTTTTCAAATTAGTAGCTTCCCAAGGATTTCATTCAGGGTTTTCACACTTTCAGTGGAGATTTTTATGATTTTTTTATTAATTCTGTCCCAGTACTTTGAGAATTTTAAATTCCAGAGAATTCTATTCTGAGTTATAACGAAGAGCCAAACGATCACTGCATTTATACGGATGTAATCTAAAGCCACATGTGTCCTATGGTATATCATTATCCTTTTGAAGCTTTAAACTATGGTGTTTGCTAGCAAAAACAAATAGCTCGATTTTATGTGAACGTTGTTAGTTAATATCAGGTCTCTGAAGTGTGCAGGACTGGTATAAATATATGTATGTGTTTATATACTTTAATTACTGAATTACAAAGAATAGGGTTTTTTTACAAAGAATGGGGTTTTTTTGCTGGGTGTTGACATTTCCGGCAGGTGAAGATGAGGTCTGCATGGAAGCATAGGTGTCAGCAACATTGATTGATGAAGAAAATAACTTATTTTAATCAAGTTTATTTTCTGTTGGAAGATTTTTTCCAAATTAGAACAGGAAAATGCAGGATAGGAATGCTCACTAAGAGGTATACATGCAAACCACTGTTCAGTAAAATTAATCAGGATAACATATCCTATATTTTTCCTCTTCCACATGTTAATCTTCCACATTCAATTGATGATAAAAAAATTGAACTAATCCACTGTACAAGAAAACTTTTAAAAAATTACCATCTCCCTTCAGTTTCATTTTTCTCCTCATATATGAGATTGATGTACTTTAAAAAAACGTGTGAGCAGCTTGGCAAGTTGGTAGAGCTCAAAGCATATTTCTTCTATAAAACAGTTGAGGAACAGAAAATATTCACTATCAAGAGATTTCAGTCAAACTCTGGAATGATTGTTCTTTACTGTTGATCTAATCAAGACAGATGTAAAGCTTAACAGCTGAATAAAGAGGATGATGAGCATATTCCCAGTATGATATAAGTACTAAGCTTTATTCTCTTCTCCCTGCCCCCTCTTTTTCATACTCAGAAAGAAACAACTTGCAAAATACAAGTTAATATTAGAATCTCACCAAAATCACTATGTAATTAATACTAAGTACATGCAAAGGCATTTTGTTGACTGAAGGCTAAAATTTAAAAAATAAAAAAGTTTTTAAATTCCATTGTTTTCCTCTCTTTTTTAACATGAAATATTTCATACTCTTTCCGTGTGCTCCTTTTCCATAACTGCCTTCTGTGACTTCCATGCTTTCAGAGGAAAAGGCTCTATGACCTGTCGTGCAGATGACACCAGCTTGGGAACTGTATTTTTCTATCAGCCTCTGAATTCAGGCTTTACACATGACTGAACAGCATCAAGATGCCTACTTTTCTTGTTTCCTGAACTTTCTTAACGGCTAAGTTTCATGGTGGACTTTTGCTGAAGCAAGGTACACCTTTGGGCCCATTGTTCATCAGTATTTTTGCCAGAGATAATGTTTGGGGACTTATACAAATATCTCAAAAATATGTGGAAACACAAATCTGTATTCCAGTAGAAGTTTGACAGTCATACATATAAATAGTAAGAAAGTTATGATTAAGGAACCTATCGGCATTTCTGAAATTTGCAAATAATTCCAATGTGTTTATCAGTGCAGCACAGCAAAAAATTTCCAGTTATTTCCCTGTAGAATTCCACAACCAAACCATTATGCAATGTTTGAAATGCTGTATGTTTGGTTAGTACATTTTTGGGGGAAATAATTATACGAAAAACATAATTTATTTTGCAATGGATTTCTTCACCTGTCTCATATTAGAAAAGGTATTAAAAAGGTTGTTCAAGCCTCAATATCCTTTATTCAATATCTCATCTCTCTTTCTTTTGAAAGGCAGTAACTGTAAATGTCTCATGTCAGTTCCAGGACCTTGTGAGCCTGAAGACCTCATTGATGGAATCATCTTTGCAGCCAATTACCTGGGCTCTACACAGCTGCTCTCTGAGCGCAACCCTTCCAAAAACATAAGAATGATGCAGGCCCAAGAGGCAGTGAGCCGTGTTAAGGTAGGGGATTTTTATGTTTTGTAGAATAATCTCTGATCCTTTGACAGTTGATCTCTAAAAAGTGCAGGATCTGCAGCCTCAAACCTATTCTGAAGTGCACTTATGTGAATATAGATCTAGTACTGTAAATACCTGTAGTTTCCAGTGCTTATGAAAATACATACAGCATCTCTGAGGAACAAAATATTAATTATTTCACAGTCTATTCAAAATTGATTGGAAGCTGTATGAAGAATTTAAGTATTAAAGACAAATTGCAGATTGCAATTAGGAAATATTCCCATGGCAAAGCACAGGATATTTGCTTGACTATGGTTTTCCTCTTATGTCATTAATTCTTTCAACTTCCTACAGATTGTGAAGATTACTCTTGATATATTGAATTATTACTTTTTTAGCACAAGAAGATTCATTACTGTTGTGTTTGGATATAGTGTTACTTACAGCAAACAGTTCCTGTGTAAATAATGTAGCATAGACTGCTTCATACAGCTGTGTAAAAAAATGCTTTTTTTGCTTAATAATCCAAGTAAATGTTTCTTTTACAATTTCTTGTGCATCTGCTGTCAATACCTCCTCTGAACAAACACAGAATTAGAAAGAGGTAGATTTAAATGCTAAGAGAAAAATTATATGCTTAGTCAATAAAATATTTAATTGGTAAAAATTGGATGTTTTTGAAGGAAACCAGTTTGGGAAAATAATTTACTTAGCAAGAGACTGTCATGACTGATAATTGATTTGGGATTTAGAAACAAATGGAGGGCAAGAAAGGTCCAGTTCTTTAAACTTTTGAAACATTTGAATTTCTATTTAACATCTTGTGATGTCTCAAGCAGTAAGTAACTGTAGATTGCAGTTAACTCTCTTAAACTGTTTCGTATATTAATAGCAATCCTTATCTGTCTAGGATACTTGATTGCTTTAGCTAGTTATGGAAGAGAGCTTGATTTACATTTTGCTCAACAATTACATGTTGACATATGATTAATATGGATAGAAAACCCTGAGTTTAAAATAGTGCACGTACTGTCATTTTAGACTGCTGTATGTTTAGCAGGATAAATGTTAGGAGCAGGTGTATCAGACAACCCTCTTTGGTACTGGTCTTGTAATCAATTGACAACATGCATAATGTCATTAAATTCAATTATGATTGAGAACTGCATAAGATATAAAATCTTTCTCTCTTGTGCATCCTTCTCCCACTGCCTCCAAATTTTTAATTTTTAACAGTCTGGATTCAAAGTCAAAAGGTTTCCCTGACTTCCCATGCTGTCGTTTCTCTTTCTTTGCGTGTACATCTGTCTGCATTCTTTTTTTATGCTACTCCTCAGAGGATGCAAAAGGCGGCTAAAATCAAGAAAAAAGCGGTGTGTAAACTGTTTTTCTTGAATATTAACGTTTCCTTACATTTTGATTGTACCTCTTCTCCATGGAGTGTTGTGTCTTTCATTATGGGTCCTCATAAAGTTCTCATTTTGTTTTCTTTTTTGTTAAGTAATAGAACAGTGGCTGGAATAAAACAAAATCATTCTCTTCATTGTTCATTTGCTGGAGTGCCTGTCTGCTGCTCTTCTTCTGTTGAATACCTGTGATTTGTTTAGTCCAGATATACAGACAATGTTATCCAGGAGATTTTTTTTTTTCTTAATGTAATGCTTATTTTTATTTTACTAACCAAAGCAGTAAGATGTATGTCCTGTGACTTACTGTATATTTATTATTGTTGATATTTAAAAACAAATAAATTTACCAGGTAATAGCTGGAGCAATTCATACAGGAGACCTTTCACTCAGTTCAAAACTATACTTCACTAAATACAGTTGACAAAAATAGCACTAAAATTAATCTTGCTCTTTGTGATGGTATTGGATGAAAGCAATGTAAGTAATTGCTGCCAAAGTATATGCTTGCTTTGTATTTTGCTGGATGAGACTTAATTAAAATATAACCAATCTGAATGAATTATACGCATACCTAAGGCTTTATAACTACAGAAAAGAGCAGCAAATACATCATTCTTCCTTGCAGTGTGTGATGGGTTTGCCCTTGGCTGGGGGCCAAACCACACACCTGCTCATGCAATTCCACCCCCCCCTCCCCGACCCGAGGACAGGGGAGAGAATTAAAGGGGTAAAGGGAAAAAAGGACTCGTGGGTTGAGATAAGGACAATTTAATAACTAAACTACAATAATATTGAAAATAATCCTATATACAAATATACAAATGAGTGATGCACAGTGACACTGCCCCCCCCACCCGATGACCAAGGCTCAGCCTGTTCCCGGCTAACGATCCC